CAGTTGTCCGCTGGTTCAGTTGTCCACTGGTTCAGTCGTCCACTGGTTCAGTTGCCATACTGGTTCAGTTGTCACTGGTTCAGCTGTCACTGGTTCAGTTGTCACTGGTTCAGTTGTCCACTGGTTCAGTTGTCACTGGTTCAGTTGTCACTGGTTCAGTTGTCATACTGGTTCAGTTGTCACTGGTTCAGTTGTCACTGGCTCAGTTGTCACTGGCTCAGTTGTCACTGGTTCAGTTGTCACTGGTTCAGTTGTCACTGGTTCAGTTGTCACTGGTTCAGTTGTCCACTGGTTCAGTTGTCTACTGGTTCAGTTGTCCACTGGTTCAGTTATCCACTGGTTCAGTTGTCACTGGTTCAGTTGTCCCTGGTTCAGTTGGCACTGGTTCAGTTGTCGCTGGTTCAGTTGTCGCTGGTTCAGTTGTCACTGGTTCAGTTGTCGCTGGTTCAGTTGGCACTGGCTCAGTTGTCACTGGTTCAGTTGTCCCTGGTTCAGTTTTACTGGTTCAGTTGTCCCTGGTTCAGTTGTCACTGGTTCGGTTGTCTGCCTACCGCCGACGTCGGCCCGACGTCGGTCCGACCTCGGCACGACGTAGGCTGGATGTCGGGTACACCCGCATGCACCGACGTCCAGCCGACGTCGGACCGAGATCAATTGCTGAGGTCCAGCCGACGTCGGGCCGACGTTGGACCGACATCGGCCGCTGTTTTGACCGTTAAAATAATATAAAATGCATGTTTCATGTTTCATAAAGAGCTTCTGTATCCAAAATACCTATCCTCAGGGAAGTCAAATCTTCCTCCACGCCGCAACCCCCTGATCCGGACTGGACGGGAAACTTAATCCCATTTGGGATTGCCCGTAAGCCGAGCTCGCCCGTAGCCGGGTGCGGTGAGTGCTTGGGAGTTGGGGGCTGCGCCTATCCTTTGGTCAGGCTCAGCCCTGGCAACTCACCAGGGCCGGGCTCAGTTCATATAGAAAGGCCAGTTGGCATGTGCCACTTTGCCAAAGTGCCACTTATCAAAGGGACACTTTTGGAAACGTTGGTGCAGGTGTGTAAGGGTGGCTATATGAATCCGTTTGTGGGGTCGCCCTTTCCAATAAGTGTCACGTAACAGCAATGGGACTCTATGTGAACTGGACCCAGGGTGCTCGCCAAGACCACCCAGTAAACATGCCGACGTCGGCCCGACGTCGGGCCGAGGCTCGGCCCGACGTCGGCCCAACGTCGGTTCAACCTCGGCCCGACATCGGCTGGACGTCGGATATGCCCGCATGTTCCGACGTCCAGCCGAAGTCCAGCCGACGTCAAGCCGACGTCGGGCCGGGGTCGTTTGCCGAGGTTGACGAGATCGTTTGTCGTTGGGCCGACGGGGCCGACGTCGGCATGTTTATTGGGACAACGCGCCAAAAATATCAACCGGCGGCGGGATTCGAGCCCCCCAGTCGCCGACGTCGGCATGTTTACTGGGACAACACGCCAAAAGCATCAGCCGGCGATGGGATCCGAACCCCGCGTCATTTGCCGCGAGGTTAGTGCGCTAACCACTACACCACGCAGCCAGATAGCGAATTTAGTTTGTTTTGTTGGGTTATGCCCTTTCGGTCTGACAAGACCATTTCAGAGCCGGAAGGATGATAGGATGGAGACATTGGTCTTCTTGGCGAGCACCCTGGGTCCAGTTCATATAGAGTCCCTGGTCCCATTGCTGTTACGTGACACTTATTGGAAAGGGCGACCCCACAATGGATTCATATAGCCACTCTTACACACCTGCACCAACGTTTCCCAAAGTGTCCCTTTGATAAGTGGCACTTTGGCAAAGTGACACTTGCCGACTGGCCTTTCTATATGAACTGGCCTGGCCCTGGTGAGTTGCCGGGGCTGAGCTTGACCAAAGGATAGGCCGAGCAGCCCCCAAGCACTCACCGCACCCGGCTACGGGCGAGCTCAGCTTACGGGCAATCCCAAATGGGATAAAGTTTCCCGTCCAGTTGCGCCGTGGAGGAAGATTTGAGTTTCCTGAGGATATTTTGAATACAGAAGCTCTTTATGAAACATGAAACGTGTATTTTATATTATTTTAACGGTCAAAACAGCGGCCGATGTCGGTCCGACGTCGGCTGGACCTCAGCAATTGATCTCGGTCCGACGTCGGCCCGACGTCGGCTGGACCTCGGCTGGACGTCGGAACATGCGGGCATATCCGACATCCAGCCGACGTCGTGCCGAGGTTGGACCGACGTCGGGCCGACGTCGGCATGTCGATGCCGAGTTGCCGACGTCACCCCGACGTCGGCCGACGTCGGCATGTTTACTGGGCAATGTCTCCATCTTATCATCCTTCCGGCTCTGAAATGGTCTTGTCAGACCGAAAGGGCATAACCCAACAAAACAAACTGATTTCGCCATCTGGCTGCGTGGTGTAGTGGTTAGCGCACTAGCGTCGCGTTCAAATGACAAGGTTTCGAATCCCATCGCCGGTTGATACTTTTGGCGCGTTGTCCCAGTAAACATGCCGACGTCGGCGAGTGGGGGTCGAATCCCACCGCCGGTTGATATTTTTGGCGCGTTGTCCCAGTAAATATGCCGACGTCGGCCCCGTCGGTCCAACGACAAACGATCTCGTCAACCTCGGTAAAAACGACCTCGGCCCGACGTCGGCTCGACGTCGGCTGGACTTCGGCTGGACGTCGGTACATGCGGGCGTACCCGACGTCCAGCCGATGTCGGACCAAGGTTGAACCGACTTAGGGCCGAAGTCGGGCCGAGGCTCGGCCCGACGTCGGCATGTTTACTGTGCAATATCTACCCTGTCCTGCCTTATGCCTTTCCAGTAGCTCAGTTGATAGAGCGATCTACCAGACAACTCTCCATAGGCGCAATTCCTACCTTTGAGGGCACACACCCCGCGCGCAACACTCCACTTAAAATCTGCACCGCACCAGTTGATCTGCACCGCACCGCGCACCGGTGGATTGCTCTTGCACTGGCTGAATCTTGTTGGCAGTTTTTGTGTCCTGGTGGTGAGAGCTCCTGGTTTGAGTGTCAGTGTCTGTCAAGCAATTTTTGGGACTGGTTTGTAACTGCTGTGTGTTTATTTATTTATTTATTTAGCAGATCTTTGTGGATTCCAATATACAATTGGCTGGTTATTCCACAGCGTCATACAATGCAGGGCTGCCGTCAAATTACATGAAAACACAGTGCATATTATACAGTACAATACAGTCACTACTAACTTCGTCATACAACACTGGATCAAAGACATTCTAAAAAGACATTCTACTGTTTGCTGAGATAAAAACTCTTGACTCGTTTCTTAAAAGTACAGACGCTGCCGCAGTTGTGCATCCCTTTGTCAAGATCGTTCCATGCAGTCAGTGAGCGGACGGGCGTCGCCATACGCGTTCTTTCCAGTCGGGCGCGCGGCACATGGAGAAGATCGGCGGCGGTCGCCCTAGTGCTACGAGTACGCTCTGACACGTCGGCTCGCATCGAGACTAGGCTTTTTAGGTGGACTGGCGCGTTTGCTTCATGTAGCATGGCGTGCACCAGAATACAGTCCCTGTAGTCAATCGTGCGCTCGAATGACAGCCAGCCGAGCTCACGTTTCGCCTGTGAGATATGGTCAAATTTACGCTTTCGGGTTACAACTCGAGCGGCGTGGTTGATCACTTTTTCCATGCGCAGACGTTCGCGTTTGGTAGGCGGTGCCCAGGCCGGTAAACAATATGTCACATGCGGGAAGACCAGTGAGCGCACGAGATGAAGTACAGTTGTTTTGGGAAGTGTGTCTCTGATCTTACTAATGGTGATCAAGCCACCGTAGCATCGCTGCACTACTCTGCTGTGTTCATGCTAATTGGCGCAATTATCGGCATTAGTAGAGGAGACGTCAAGACGTCGAAGGTTTTCCAACAGGGAGACGCTGTAGGTTGGTAGGTTGTAGGGTAGGTTTGTTGGTTTTTAGGTTGTACGTTGTAGTTTTGTAAGTTGTATGTTGTAGTTTTGTAGGTTGTAGCCAGGTTTGTAGGTTGTAGGATTTGTAGGCTGTAGGTTAGGTTAGGTTTGTTTAGGTTTTGTTAGAAAGAAGCACCTCCGGTTATAGCGCCTCTCTTCGGTAGAAAACCTTCGTGTGACGTCTGCTCTACTATAATACCCAATTATCTAGGTTTCATTTGCATAGTGTGGTTTTGGCCAACTGCCCATGCAACTTTTATTGTTCAGTGTGGACATGACCTTCTCTGTTCGAGAATTCTGCTTAATTTTTTAGAAACATAGGAACAGAATCATTACAAGCAGGTGTTCAGTTCATCAGACCATTTTCCGAGCGCATGCAGTTCTGCTCAAGACGGCTGGTCTTTGATTAGTGGCCCGCCGGTTATCGGGGATGCCCCCTCCTCGGCCAGCCCCGTCCCATTCCATCCCATCCAATGGTCCCCTGTCCCCATCTCTCTCGACCCTCATCCGGCGGGATATACCGTCCGTCCCCCGTCCCATCTCGTATGTCCCTTATCCCATGATCTCATCCCGTCTGTCCCCATCCCATCCGGTGGGTCCCTCGTCCCATCCGATGTGCCCCCTGTCCCCTTCGACCTCTTTCTATCCTACCTAGCCCCCGTCCCACCCATCACTCCCTCGTCCCAAATAAGGCTACAGTAACGTCCCAGCCCTACGGGCGTCAGGCTGTTCCGTAATCTGTTGGATTTAGTTAGCGTTGTCCCGGTGGTTTTTGTTGGCGGCACGCCGTTCTGGTAGGTCGAGTTGGTCGTCCCGTCAGGATACTGTTTTCGTTTCGTCTGCGATGAAAATTCCTACGTCGAGGTCAAGTCAATAACCCCTTCCTATACACGCCCGTGGGCACGCGACTCGTGTTTTAACTGGCCCTCCCTGGTATCGATCCTCGCGGCGCGCCTGCCTACCCTAATGTCGAAATTAACGCAAACAAACGCTGGCCGCCCGGTGACCCGTCTCTGGCCGTCACTGTGCGCGTCACCGCCCGGCTGGTGTGGCGTGAGTCAGCTGTTTCGAGAGTTTACGAGGAGTTGTAGGCAGTGTTAGCTGAGGCGCATTAGGAGGTGTTTGGGAAAAACGGTCAAGGTAGTGTTTGGATCCCCGGCGAGGCCAAGGTATTGGAATTTTGTGTTATAGTTTCGTCTTCTTGTTTTCAATCGTTCGTTCACTGTTACACTGGTACAGACTAGAGATGCATGTCTTTGAAGCGTATATACGGGCGCAAAATGGCCTTAGTGGTCGGCGCACCCTAAATCCCCAGTAAACAAACTTTGAAGCGTATATGACAAATAGCGAAATATGCGTTAACAAATATTATACTACACTGCCCTCCACGAACACTGGCTATTTCACATTGAGTTTCTGGTCCGATCCCGCGTTTGTAGCTATGATTCTTCATCATTGACGCTTTGGACCTTTTTTACAGAGACTGAACCATCTACGGCGTTAAAACCATGGGCACCAAGTTTGAGTTCTCGATTGACCGCGGTGGTACATTCACCGATATCTACGCCCGGTGTCCGGGCGGTCGGGTGCGGACCCTGAAACTGCTCTCCTCGGATCCGGACCGGTATCCGGACGCGCCCACCGAGGGGATCCGGCGGATACTGGAACAGGTGGGTGTTGGAACATGAATAAATGACCCTGATTATCCAGGATTAGTAGGAATAGGGTGGATGAATGAATGAATGAATGAATGAATGAATGAATGAATGAATGAATGAATGAATGAATGAATGAACAAATCGTGACCATTCATGAATGAGAGATAACAGATTAATAAATGGATGAGTCAATGAATTAGTGATTGTGTCAGTAAATGAGTTAATTTGTCAATGAACGAGTCAATGAGAGCGTGAGGAAATTATATTTACTTACAAAGCGGGATTTGATAAACTGTTGATATTATTCATGAATTGAGCCGATAAATGCATTTTTATGCTCTCCAGCAGACACAAAGTAGGCATGAGACTGTGTGACTGAGATGGAGACTGCACTCTCTCATAAAACACCCACCCCATCCATCATTAATAGTCTGTCAGACATTCACTGCATTTACCTGCCGTCCTCTCACTTTCTCAGGAGACGGGCCGCCCGTTCCCGGCCGGTGAGCCGATCGACACCAGTGCCATCTCGTGGATCCGGATGGGAACTACGGTGGCCACTAACGCCCTGCTGGAGAAGAAGGGCGCGGAGATGGCCCTGCTGATCACAGCGGGGTTCAGGGACGTGCTGCACATCGGCAACCAGGCGCGGCCCAAAATATTCGACCTGGTAAGTCACTCGGATCTGGTAAAGGCCATGGCTCGTTACTATGTTGGTTTGGAGTTTGTCTTCTCTTGAGTAAAACCGAATTGGAGCATTAACAAGCCGCAAGACAGCAGTCTGGTCGCTGATCCGCCGTGTTCTGCCGTTCCTCCGACAGTCTGTGTCGTGCCCGAACGTACTCTACCGCCGCTGTTTTACTGTGCCCTGCCGAGTCAGTTCTACCGTGTTCCTTTCTCTAGTCGGTGTCGTGTCCGGACGTGCTCTACTGTATTTACTGTGCCCTTCCCCTGTTCTGCTGTGCTCTATCGTATTCTACCTTTCTTCCGGCAGTCAGTGTCGTGTCCGGGCGTACTTTTCTGTCTTCTACCATGTTCTACTCCTCCTCGGACAGTCAGTGTCGTGTCCGGTCGTGCTCTACTGTGTTCTACCATGTTCTACCGTATTTCTTTCTCCAGTTGGTGTCGTGTCCGCCTCCGGACGTGCTCTTCTGTGTTCTACTATGTTCTACCCTTCCTCCGACAGTCTGTATCGTGTCCGGACGTACTCTACCGTGACGTGGTGGAGGTGGACGAGCGCCTCTTCCTGGCCTCGCCGAGATGTCAGATGAAGCACGACTACGAGCGGGTGACAGCGCGGTCAGGTCAGCGACCGGGGGGGGGGGGGGAGGGGGCTTCTTTTCGGCATGTCTTTACTCTTCTCGTAATGGCAATGCATTTTTCACGAAACGCTTCTGCATCTCTGTCTAAATTATGTCGATATATACATGTCCCATTTCAATAGATAGTCTAAGAAACCGTACCACTGCAACCGGCGTCTGCAACGATTCGCCACTGCCCACTAACCGTCCCTTTCTCACCGCCCTGTCAAACCGTACTCCCGCCAGGCCAGGAGCTGCTGGTGGTGCGCCGTCCCGGCCTCCGCTGACCGTCTTACCGTACTCCCGCCAGGCCAGGAGCTGCTGGTGGTGCGGCGTCCCGACCTCCGCTGACCGTTTTACCGTACCCCTTTCAGGTCAGGAGCTGCTGGTGGTGCGCCGTCCGGACCTCAGCGCGCTAGAGCCCCAGCTGCAGGCCCTGCTGGACAGAGGCATCACCAGCCTGGCCGTGGTGCTTATGCATTCCTACCTGTGAGTTACTTGTGACTGGGAGTACTCGTAACTGTGAGTACACTCCTACCTGTGAGTACTGGTGACTGTGAGTACTTAGTACTCCTACCTGTGAGTAACTTGTGATTGGGAGTAACTCGTATCTGTGAATGCTTCTACCTGTGAATTTTCGTACCTGTGAGTACTCATACCTCTAAGTACTCGTACTCGTAAGTACCCGTACCTCTGGGTACTCGTGTCTCGTACATGTAAGAGTTCGTAGTTTTGTGTCTGTGTTTCTCGCACCTGCTGTTTTGAACTTCTACTCTTGCGCTTGTACCTTTTTTGTACCTTTTCTAAACATGTACCTTTTCTTGTGTGTTTTAAGATCTCAATGTAATATTTTTGAAGTGTTTTTCGAGTACGGCCGTATGATTATCCGTCCGTATCTCCCGCCAGATTCCCTGACACTATGTGTGTCTGTGTCCCCCAGTTACCCCGACCACGAGCAGTTGGTGGGCGGTCTGGCGGCGCGGCTCGGGTTCACCCACGTCAGTCTCTCCTCCGAGGTGATGTCGATGGCCCGGCTGGTGCCGCGCGGGTTCACGGCAGCCGCTGACGCCTATCTGACGCCGTGCATCAAACACTACCTGAAGGTGGGTGTTATAACGGCGGTACTGCCTGAGGGTGGGTGTTAATTTACCTGAGGGTGGGTGCTATAGCGGCGGTACTGGGTGCCATTGTGTCTACGTGGGGGTTCCGCTGGCGTAAAACCGGCGATACTGGTAGGTATGTAAGGGACGATATATTTATAGAACAACGATCGGGCTCAGAATTACACCACAATAACAGTCATGTGCACGGCTTAAGGTCGTCTTCGATCGCACGGATTTGGATTTTATCTCACGGTACGTGCGAAAACGCCATGCGACAGGAGGGACGTTGCGTTTGGCGGCTTATTCCGAAATCCGAATGCACCACTATTTTTCAGCACTGCACCAGGAGTCAGCCATTTTCTCAGGATGGTCATGTGAATGCGTACAAATGCATGGCCTCCTTCGCCTTAAAGACTATTATTGCATAATCATACGGCCCCTATAAATGCTCTCACACCTTTTCTGCGCTTGCTCCTTCCTCTCGGTAGTAGGGTATCGTGGATTGTATCTCATTTGATCTGCTAATGAAACCGATCAATGTTGCCTGAATCACATAAAGACTGAAACTTTTCATCTGCACCCCATATTCTCTCGCCTCTGCCTCTCTACGCCTCGGTACCTATATTCTGTCGCCTGATGCCGTTTTATTTGTGTTGGCTGCCGCGCAGAGTTTCAGCTCTGGCTTCCGGGACGAGCTGCGCGGCGTCAATGTGCTGTTTATGCAGAGCGACGGCGGCCTGACGCCCATGGACAGGTAAAGACGCCCATAGACAGGTAAACACAGACTCATACCTGACGCCCACGGACAAGTAAAGACCGGATCATACGGCGGCCTGACGCCCATGGACAGGTAAAAACGACTTCACAGACTGAGGGCTGACACCCATGTACGGGTAAAGACCGGCTGCCTGACGCCCATGGACAGGTAAAGACCGATTCACAACAGACTGACGCCCATGGACTGGATCGTAAACACCGGCTCACATAACGGCCTGACGCCCATGGACTTTTAAAGACCGGTTTTGATGCACTTTGACTCTGCTTACCGCCAGTCCTGCATGGGGTTACATCATATTGGTCGTAAAGCTTAGTAAGCTCACTGTTTTATGTATTATGTAAGCTAAGTAAAATTAGATTCCCCAGTTCCTCACTCCAGTTTACCGACTCCACGTGCTCGCTGTTTTCTCCCGCCAGTTTTAACGGCTCGCGCGCCATCCTGTCGGGCCCGGCCGGCGGCGTGGTCGGGTACGCCCAGACCACGCACCGGCGAGAGACACAGCTGGCCGTCATCGGCTTCGACATGGGCGGCACCAGTACCGACGTCAGCCGCTTCGACGGCGCCTTCGAGCACGTCTTCGAGTCGACCACCGCCGGCGTGGTCATCCAGGCGCCCCAGGTGGGACGAGGCCGGCCAGGAGGAATGGTTTGGGTGGTTTTTATTTGGTGAAAGTTGAGGGATTGCTTGTTTCGGTGAGCTGGTGTGGGGGATAGTGTATGTTTTTTTTTCTGGTGGTTGTCATTGCTCAAGCGTGTTGTGAAGTAAATATTGTGTAGTCATTATGCGTTGTTCAGCTTTATGTTTCTAAGGTCACGACTTTATTCCAAATCTGACCTGACCAGACAGCCCATGACCTCACCTGACCTTAATCTACCCATGACCTGACCTGACCTCTGACCTGACCTGTGACCTGACCTGACCCTCAGCTGGACGTGAACACGGTAGCTGCCGGCGGCGGCTTGGTGGCTTTGTACTGCACACCTGACCTGACCTGACCTGACCTGTCCCCCCAGCTGGACGTGAACACGGTGGCGGCTGGCGGCGGCTCGGTCCTCGCCTTCCGAGACGGGCTGTTCGCCGTGGGACCAGAGTCGGCCGGCGCCCACCCAGGTATGGAATACGTAATATACTCGTATGTATGTATACCCCACACCTCCCTGTACTGTACCGCGGGCCAGAGTCGGCCGGCGCGCACCCAGGTATGGAATACGTAGTATATGTATACCCCACACCTCCCTGTACTGTACCGTGGGGCCAGAGTCGGCCGGCGCGCACCCAGGTATGGAATACGTAGTATATGTATACCCCACACCTCCCTGTACTGTACCGCGGGCCAGAGTCGGCCGGCGCGCACCCAGGTATGGAATACGTAGTATATGTATACCCCACACCTCCCTGTACTGTACCGCGGGCCAGAGTCGGCCGGCGCGCACCCAGGTACGGATTACGTAGTATATGTATACCCCACACCTCCCTGTACTGTACCGTGGGACCAGAGTCGGCCGGCGCGCACCCAGGTATGGAATACGTAGTATATGTATACCCCACACCTCCCTGTACTGTACCGCGGGCCAGAGTCGGCCGGCGCGCACCCAGGTACGGATTACGTAGTATATGTATACCCCACACCTCCCTGTACTGTACCGTGGGACCAGAGTCGGCCGGCGCGCACCCAGGTATGGAATACGTAGTATATGTATACCCCACACCTCCCTGTACTGTACCGTGGACCAGAGTCGGCCGGCGCCCACCCAGGTACGGAATACGTAGTATATGTAATACCCCACACCTCCCTGTACTGTACCGTGGGGCCAGAGTCGGCCGGCGCGCACCCAGGTATGGATTACCACTCACCTGACCGCACGGTACCCCTCTGTACCGCACATATTCGCCTCCTAGTCTGTACACATATTCGCCTCCCTGTGCTGTGGACCCGAGTCGGCGGCTCGGCCGGTGCCAATTCTGAATTCGGACACATTCAGCTCTCTCTCTGAGAAGCAGTCCATTCACATATTGGTGGCCACCATGTCTCATTGCTAACATGCCACCGCGTTATCGCCATCTCAGTCATCTCTCTTCTCTCTTCGGCCCTGGTCTGGTCTGCTCTGCCTTCTTTTCATGCCGACCTGAAGAATAATATCTCCACTTTCCAGGCCCTGTCTACTAAGAATTCTCTGCCCCCAGACCCGAATATCTGAAAACCCCTCTCTGCTGTCTCCAGGTCCTGTGTGCTACAAGAAGGGCGGCCCGCTAACCGTCACCGACGCCAACCTGGTGCTGGGCCGTCTGCTGCCCGACTTTTTCCCGAGGATATTCGGGCCGAACGAGGACCAGCCGCTGGACAGTGCCGCCGCCTACACCCAGATGCAGAACCTCACCAACGATGTAAGACACGCGGTGTTTGAATGATGGGAGCTGTAGCATAGCTACTTGGATCCAATTTACCATAGGAATATAAGTATTAACAGCTCAACTGGTAGGACTGTAATGCATTCAGATTGCATATAACCTGGCAGCTATGCTACCGACTGACGAGCGGTTTGCAGTAACTGCTACTCGGCCTGTTGTCTACAAGCTATTCAAAACAATGTAGACGTACAAAAAAGTAACACGGGTTATTATGCGCATTTACACGCAATTTGTCCTTCGTTGTGGCATGGCGCTTGGATAGCCGTTTGAAGTGTAGTCACAACTTGTCTTGGGTTGTGTGTCGTCAGGTGAACAAGTTCCTGCAGTCGCAGAAGGGTGACGCGGTGTCGGAGCCGATGTCAGTCGAGGAGGTCGCCATGGGCTTCATCAGGGTGGCCAACGAGACCATGTGCCGGCCCATCCGCAGTCTCACTCAGGTGAGGGATGGCAGTCACTCAGGGTGAAACTCACCCATGTGAAGTCTCAGTCAGGTGGGGTGGCTCAGCCTCGCGCAAGTGAAGTGCTGGTGTAGTCTTTATCGTAATGGCAGTTCCATGTCAGTGTAAATCAGTATTTCGTTTCATCCATTCTGAGCCCGTTCGTTCATTCATTCATTCATTCATTCATTGATTTTCCACTTACTCACCTACCCACACATTCGTTCAGTCGTAAATCCATCCATTTCAGTCACTTATCCAATCATTCGCCCACTCATTCATTCATTCATTCATTGATTCATTCATTCGTTTGTTTATTCACCAAGTCAGATGAGTCAATGTGTGGGTACCCATTCATTCATTCATTCGCCCATTAAGCCATTCATTCAATTTATTCACCCATTCATTTATTCACCCATTCATTTATTCACCCATTCATTCACCTCTTCATTTTTTCCGCTTTATTTTTACCGCAATAGCGAAAAATTGTCTTGTAAAGCTTGTGTAAACCTACGGGTACTCGATACTTGGTTTTTGCTGCTTTCGAACCGCCACAAATCCTTGTATTTGGGCCCGGTAACCTACGGGCAAACAGTGTTATTTAAGTACACAAGTGTTATCTACCTTTCTCCCCAGCAATCCGGCCCACCACTTCTCACGATTAAGGCGTCCTCCACAACTTACCGCTAGCCCCGCCTTTTCACCCGCCCTGCCCTGCTGTAGGCCCGCGGCCACGACACCTCTCAGCACGCGCTGGCCTGTTTCGGCGGCGCAGGAGGTCAGCACGCATGCGCAATAGCTCGCGCGCTCGGCATGGGCACCGTGTTTGTGCACAGGTGAGGACTTCAGATGGCGGATGAATTTATGTGATAGACGAGTTGGGATGGTGCACGTTACAGTAGCACTGAGTTATGCTGTAAGTGGCCTCAATATTGCCCAGATAATCTGTTTTCGAAGAATATTTCTTGCCAACTGTTTCGGTTCCTTGAGTTTTTTTTTTTTCATTGGGACTCATCAAGCATTGCACGACCCGTGGCCGATAATTTGTTTGGGCTGGAAAAAAGTTGTTAGCGAACTGCTCCGTCACAGCTGCTGTAGGTGCAGATGACATTACCCGTGCCCGTTTCCCAGATACGCCGGTATCCTGTCAGCGTTCGGTATGGCTCTGGCCGACGTGGTGCACGAGGCCCAGGAGCCGTGCGGACTACTCTACGGACCAGGTGCGACCGCTGGGGAGAGGGTCGTGCTGGGGGGAGGGGGCATGGAGGGGGCGCAGGGAAGATATGTGAGGGCGCAAGAAGGAGCGAATGAGGGCGGGATGAATGGATCGCTGAAGAGCAAACGAAAGTAGCTGCGAAGAATGGAGCGTGCAGCTGAATAATCGACGGATATTATTATTGAGCTTTGCTTTTTTAATTTTTGCTTAGTCTTTGAGTTGACTTTCTTCTTCTGACTTGATAGATGGTCAAGGTACGCAGCTAATAAACAATTATCGTCGTCGTATTCGGCATTCGCGGACTCGCCAGGCTTTGAACCCGGGACCGGCTGAACGCCGGCGGGCGGCAGCAGCCCGGCTCCGGCTCGGTGGCGGTGCTATTTTACTGCGAAAATAAAAAAGTGCGACAAAGAAAAATATAAATAATAATCTATCAGTATGGAAAATAAGATGTTTGGAAACAGCTTCGCAGCCAGCCTTATTGATCAGTTAGTTGATTTTTTCCGACTTCGGCAGAAAATCCCGAAAACATCCGTGCCCGGTCCGCGCCGATCCGAGCGAGCTCCCTCCCTCGTAATCTGGTGCGGATGTACCGATTTTCGCCGACGAGTGGTTGTCGGCCACCAGCCACCCATAACCCGGTGGTCTCGGCCAGCTGACGGCGGCCGGCGCAGTCAGCTGGCGCGGCCGGCCGGTATGGGCGGCTGGTGGCCGACAACCACTCGTCGGCGGCTGCGGCGCGGCCGGGCGCGGCTCAACACGCGCCGCGTTGGGGTCGTTTTTGCCGGCGCCGCGCCGCCCGCCGTATGTTGTGTATCGTCGGCGAGGGGCGTGGCGCGCGGTATGGGCGGCTACTGCATTTGCCCGCCGGCGTCGGCGCCGCTGGTTATTTATTTACGTGGTGTGCGCCGACGAACGAGGGAGGATGAAAAAGAAGTGCATGTGGCTTTGTTGCGCGCAGGGAGGGCGGGAGGGAAGGACGGCTTGACGAGGAGCGTCTTTGATTGATCGGTAGAATGATTTTAGGCTAGTTTCGAACATCAACGTTTCAAGATGCGTGGAGCTTTCAACAAATAAAATACCGATAAACCCTTATTATGTAAGTTTTTTTTTGCCGATGAAGACAATCCGAAATGAGTCCGGCGGCGGCCGCTGAGCGAGCCGAGCCTGTTTGTTGCCGTATGTTCCACCATGACTGACCAACCCGAACCCACTAATGTTTACATATTATAGCCTGCGTTCGCTCCAATGCAAAGATTTTGAAACTCGGTTGAAATGTATCCTGTCCTGTCACCACGTCCAAATGCCATCCACGTCATGCTGATTGGGTGGTTTTGTTTCAGATAATTTCGCGTACTTTGACGAGCGACTGGTGGCTCTGTCAGAGGTGTGTCGCGAGAAACTGCGACAACAGGGCTTCACTGACGACAAGGTATATCAATCATTCCCCTTCTTTGTTCATCTTCTTTGTCTTCGTTCCCAGTCTTCGTAGGCAATGGGCCATGTTGTGGAAAAATCAATCTGGATTCCGGTACTAATCGGCAAAACGAAATTTACTTTTCACATGCATCCAGTTCTTTTTCATTTTGTTGAACGGAGAAAGTGTGGTCATGCTGTGGATTGTGGAATAATTTTTGCCCTGTCCTGTCACCTACCTGTCACGACCTGTGTATACTGGATCGGAATACAGCCCCCCCCCCTCCCCCTGCTTTATCCCGACGGAACTGCTACCACCCTTTTCTTCGCTGACCTCCCCGTTCCCCCATTTTTCCCTCAGATTGTGACCGAGGTACACCTGCACATGCGATACGACAAGACCGACTGTGCTCTGATGATCCAGCCCTCTGAAGCCGGGACGGACGCTCCCTCTCCAACCCACGGAGACTTCATGGAGGCGTTCCTTCGAAGGTATTTGACGACCAGCGGCGCTGTTTCTTAGTATTTTTGCATGGTGTCCCGTTTATTTCATCGGGAGAAACTCAGCTACTCACACGATTTTTTCTGCAAGTGGCTGAATTGAGCACATACGTTTGGTTACTTTGCCAGTCAGATGCTGAATCAGCTTGCCGCGCTGCAATTTGCTCCTATCACCTGGTAATATCATGTCTTTCCATGTCAAATGTCCAATGCAATATTCATGCTAGACCTTTCCGACTTTATTTTCTCGACGTTTAAACATTGCGTAGCCCTAGCAGCTGAATGAATTGCATGGAAGTTGTCTTCCCTTTTTCCTGCTACTATCTTTTCGCTCCTCTCGCTCATTTAGTTTTCATATGTCCCTTATTTACCTCCCCTCCCCTTCCATTCCACCCAGGTACCGCAAGGAGTTTGGGTTCGTGATCAGCGACCGGGACGTGGTCGTGGATGACGTCAGAGTGCGGGGGCGGGGCCTGGCCTCCGTGGACGATGACGTCACACTGCCACCGGCACAGGCTCCGCCCTCTCCAAAAACGGTTGGTTTTGGTCCGTTAGGATTTGGGGTTGTCAGGGGAGGGGGCGTAGGGAGTGTGGGTGGGTACTGGGTGGTAAACTGGATCTTCCGGATAATAAGAACTTGGATCTGGAGTTTGATTTGGCTGTAGTCCATAACCTTCTTTCAAATTGAGTATTTGTAGCACTTACATGTTTCGTATTGATTGATAAACGTTCCTACCTATAAAAGAATATTGATATTCTTTATTTGCTCGCTCCTTTTTTCTCGCTTCTTAGAATTGCATCAATGGTGATAAACTTACTACGTGTGGTTGCTGTTGCCAGGAGACCAGGGTGTACTTTGTGGGCGGGTACCGCACGGTACAACTTCCAAGTGTACCTTTGTTGTGCTGTTGCCAGGAGACCAAGGTGTACTTTGTGGGCGGGTACCGCACGGTACAAGTGTACCTGCTCTCGGAGCTGGGGGCGGGACAGGAGATTGCCGGTCCCGCCATCATTATGGACTCTCTGAGCACCATACTGGTGGAGCCAGGTCAGTGAAAACCGGCAGTCCATGCGATAAATACGCAGCTTATTAGACGGACAGTCGGTGATTTTCACATCCCGTACCTTAAACGACAATGATCCAACATGTGTTTATCACCAGACGATTTGCTTAAATTACTGCTTTTGCATCAGCTTTCAGCCAATTTGATTCAGTGGATTCGTGGTATAAAACTTGTCCTTGTCGAAATACCACTTAAGGCTCTATGCGTGAATTGTGATCATTGCTTTGAATTGCCTTATTATTTGTTGCTCTTAGACTTCAGCTTTACTTGTGTGTTAAAGACGCATACAGTGAACTGAAGCGACAGCCGGCTCGTATTCCATGTCTGTATGATCGTTTGCTTGTCACCATTTTCGCACTATCTGACGTCATTCTCCGTCCAATCAGACTGCACGGCGACCATTACGTCGCGGGGTGACGTCAGAATCCGGGTGGGTTCGGGGGCGCCGCCGAAAATCGGTCCCGAGCTCGACTCGATACAGCTGAGCATCTTCGGACACCGGTTCATGAGTCTGGCGGAGCAGATGGGGAGGTGAGTCTGAGGCTTTGTTATAGCAGCATATCGCTGCTTGGACCGAATTTCCTAACTGTGCGCCCCTTCCTCAAAGTAATGCTGATAGCGGCATAAGTTAAAAGTCACATTTTGCCCAATTTGTCTTCAAACCAAACCCACCTTATTTAACAGATACTTTCTGAAAATTGACGAAACTCACTACGTCGCGTAGTGATCATATTTTACAATTCAATGCCCCACTCGCATGTGGTATCATTGACACTGTTATCCCGCAATGAAACCCCTCTCTGTGTTTACAAGTCGCTGTTGTGCGCGCTCGCAGGATTCTGCAGCGTACCTCGATATCGACCAACATCAAGGAGCGTCTGGACTTTTCGTGCGCGCTGTTCGGTCCGGACGGCGGTCTGGTCTCCAACGCGCCGCACATCCCCGTGCACCTGGGCGCCATGCAGGAGGCCGTCCAGTACCAGGTACACCCTCGTACTAATACCAGGTAACGACTGGTCGCCGCACATCCCCGTCCACCTGGGCGCCATGCAGGAGGCCGTCCAGTACCAGGTACAGCCTCGTACTAATACCAGGTAACGGCTGGTCGCCATGACACATCCCCGTCCACCTGGGCGCCATGCAGGAGGCCGTCCAGTACCAGGTACACCCTCGTACTAATACCAGGTAACGACTGGTCGCCGCACATCCCCGTCCACCTGGGCGCCATGCAGGAGGCCGTCCAGTACCAGGTACAGCCTCGTACTAATACCAGGTAACGGCTGGTCGCCGCACATCCCCGTCCACCTGGGCGCCATGCAGGAGGCCGTCCAGTACCAGGTACGGCATGCTACTACCAGGTACACCCTCGTACTGGTACCAGGTAACGGCTGGTCGCCGCACATCCCCGTCCACCTGGGCGCCATGCAGGAGGCCGTCCAGTACCAGGTACGGCATACTAATACCAGGTACAGCCTCGTACCGGTACCAGGTACGGCATACTATTACCAGGTACACCCTCGTACTAATACCAGGTAACGGCTGGTCGCTGCACATCCCCGTCCACCTGGGCGCCATGCAGGAGGCCGTCCAGTACCAGGTACGGCATACTATTACCAGGTACAGCCTCGTACCGGTACCAGGTACGGCATACTATTACCAGGTACACCCTTGTACTAATACCAGGTAACGGCTGGTCGCTGCACATCCCCGTCCACCTGGGCGCCATGCAGGAGGCTGCCCAGTACCAGGTAGGGCATACTATTACCAGGTACATCCTCGTAATGGTACCAGGTAACGGCTGGTCGCTGCACATCCCCGTCCACCTGGGCGCCATGCAGGAGGCTGTCCAGTACCAGGTACGGCATACTATTACCAGGTAAATCCTCGTAATGGTATACTCGGGGGCAGATTGTTGTTCCACCACTCATTACCCTTCGGGCTCCCATGGCTCAGCACTGGCTGCTGCCAGTGTTGCCTGCCCTCAGCACTGCTCAGCACTGCCTGCCAGTGCCAGTGCTGCCAGTGCTGCCATTAGCAGCAGCCAGTGCTGAGCCATGGGAGCCCGATGTGTAGGGAGTGGTGGAACGTCAATCTGCCCCCGAGTGTACCAGGCACCAGGTAACAGTTTAGTCACCGGCCACCGCACATCTCCGTCCACCTGGGCGCCATGCAGGAGGCCGTCCAGTACCAGGTATGACCTCCTACTGGTACCAGGTACGACCTCGTACTGATATGTGGTACTGATGTGATGCTGATGTGAGCACTTACTGTCTCTTCATCCCGCCTTGGTGATCGATCATTATGTGTTTTGACTTTTATAGTCGGTAATCAACTCTTGCTGGCGCTGGGGACTGGTTGACTGTATTGTATTAAAGGCTTGATTGATGAATCCATTTTATAGGTACCGCAGTAGTTACAGTGGGACTCATCGATTGATTCGGCCTCTAATAGATTCTGACAATCACGTGATGCCTCTCTCCGTGATCAAAGTCAAATCAATAACAACCGGTCGCCCGGTCTCCACTCTATCCCCAGATGCGCGCGCTGGGATCCGACATCCGTCCGGGTGACGTACTTCTCTCCAACCACCCGGCGGCGGGCGGATCGCACCTGCCCGACCTGACCGTCATCACGCCCGTGTTCTACCGGTGAGTGGCGTACCACTGTTATACCATACCTGCCCGACCTGACCGTCATCACGCCCGTGTTCTACCGGTGAGTGGCGTACCACTGTTATACCATACCTGCCCGACCTGACCGTCATCACGCCCGTGTTCTACCGGTGAGTGGCGTACCACTGTTATACCATACCTGCCCGACCTCACCGTTATCACGCCCGTGTTCTACCGGTGAGTGGCGTAGGTACCACTGTTATACCACACCTGCCCGATCTGACCGTCATCACGCCCGTGTTCTACCGGTGAGTGGCGTACCACTGTTATACCATACCTGCCCGATCTGACCGTCATCACGCCCGTGTTCTACCGGTGAGTGGCGTACCACTGTTATATCATACCTGCCTGATCTGACCGTCATCACGCCCGTGTTCTACCGGTGAGTGGCGGGTCTGTGCACTCACATGTCGAGCTTTCAATAAGCCTCAAAAGCTCAGCCAAATGCGTACTACGGCTCTCGCGAGATTAAGCGGTAGGTTTTGCACTTAAACATTTCCGATTATATCTCAGAAACTAATCGATCTACGATGAAGTCATTTTACACGATCATGGCCGGCTTGTGAACCAACAAGTCGATCGCATCTTCAACACTTAAAAGCTTAAGACGACGAAGATATAGCCTGAAGTACGGCCCTCCAGGTATTTAGTGGTTGGTTGCCAACATCATAACAATCGATCTGCATTGATGAATACATCTAATGGCTGTTGAAAACCACTGCCGAAATGTGTGCACGAACCCTCTTCTCATTTCTATTGAGTCATTTTACAGGAGTGTCTCTGCCATTTAAAGTTATTACACCAAAAGCACATAGGCTAACCAACCACTCTTTTGCTGGAGGGCCGTACACTAAATTTTCTAGGTGCAAAACCTACCGCTAAAACCCGCGAGACCTGTACCTTCTTGGGGGGATCTTTGATGCGTGAGAATCATATGTACTCGCGCTATGAAGTGTAAGATATTCTGAGATACCCTCTCGGATCTCCGAACCACATTTCCTTGTATTCGTCATTAGACGTGAAAAGACTCCCGAATCTGTGATATATTGGTGTTGCTGAGGCCGTCTAGGTCAGGTTCATGCATAGACAAATTCTTCAATTCTATCTTCTTACAGCTTCTTGTAGCCAGTCATTCGGCGTCCATGGTTCGTGCTATAACATTCTCTCCCGTCCTGTCTTGCAGTGGCAATGTCCGGGACTGCCCCTCCCTCCCCATCTGTGTTGTTTCGTATCGTGGCGTCCCCTAACACCCCCCCCCCTTCCCCTCCTCCGGCAGCGACTCGTCGTCTCCGGTGTTTTTCGTGGCGTCGCGCGGCCACCACGCTGACATTGGCGGCATCACTCCGGGATCCATGCCGCCACACTCGACCTCGCTCCTCCAGGAGGGCGCCTGCTTCAAGTCGTTCAAGCTCGTCTCCGAGGGCGTCTTTCAGGAGCAGGAGCTGACAGAGGCGCTGATGGCTCCTGGGAAGATTCCGGGCAGCTCGGGAACCAGGAACCTCAGAGATAACCTGAGCGACCTGCGCGCACAGGTGGCAGCAAACCAAAAGGTAGCGCCGGGCTGCAGGAGTGAGGGTATGTGGGAGAACGAGATGTTTACGAGTAGTAGGGTAGCATACATCGAAGAATGAAAAAGGGATGTGATTTGGAGGAGAGGGATGCTTGATGACCTCTGCTGCTCGCCTGGGGCGTTAAAACTTAAGACGATATCTAGTGAGGACTTACTATTGCTAGGTTTTTATGAAATAGGTAAAACCTATTTGAGTGTTTGTTGATCCTATTGATCGACAGCCAACATGATTCGATGTGATTGACATGCTTTTTTAATAGTAACGACATGTAATCACCTATCTCGCTTTCCTCGCGTCATCTCGCATTCTCTCGCTTTCCCCGCAGGGTGTCAGTTCGGTCGGTGAGTTGATCGACCAGTACTCCCTCCCTCTCTCCCTGACCTCCCTATCTCTCTCCCTGACCTCCCTCCCTCTTCCCACAGGGTATCAGTCTGGTCGGTGAGCTGATCGACCAGTACACCCTCCCTCTCTCCCTGACCTCCCTGTCCCTCCCTCTCTCTCTCTACAGGGTATCAGTCTGGTCGGCGAGCTGATCGACCAGTACTCCCTCCCTCTCTCCATGATCTCCCTCCCTCTCTCTCTCTCCCTGACCTCCCTCACTCTCTCCCTGACCTCCCTCACTCTCTCCCTGACCTCCCTCACTCTCTCCCTGACCTCCCTCACTCTCTCCCTGACCTCCCTTTTTCTGCGGCAGGGTATCAGTCTGGTCGGTGAGCTGATCGACCAGTACTCCCTCCCTCTCTCTCTCTCTCTGACCTCCCTCCCTCCCTCCACAGGGTATCAGCCTGGTCGGTGAGCTGATCGACCAGTACTCCCTCCCTCTCTCGCCGGCAGGGTATCAGTCTGGTCGGCGAGCTGATCGACCAGTACACGCTCCCGGTGGTCCAGGCGTACATGGCCCACATTCAGCACGCCGCGGAGCTGGCCGTGCGGGGAATGCTGCGACAGATCGGTGCAGAGGCGCGCCGCCGGTCCGGCGCAGCGCGGCTGCTCTGGGAAGACAGGATGGATGGGGGGAGTGTCATACGACTGGAGGTGCAAATTGATGAGCAGGAGGGGTCGGCTGTGTTCGACTTCAGGTCAGTTGAAGGGGAGATGCGAGAGCACTCTAGGGATGGTTGGGTTGAGGGTTGTCGTTGAACGGTTCGTTTTGAGAAGTTTTGTATTATCGATGGGCTGATACTCGGCGTGGCTTTGAGTATCAGAGCTTTCTTTTCTTCTCGACAAAGTATTGAGTGGCGAATTAGTGCGTCGATCGTCAGTTCAGTGATAGAGACACTCGGCGTGTCTTTTTTCGACTAAGATGCTTCTTCCGGTATCGCGCCATATTTGTCTTTCCAGTGGAGCTAATGACGCACCAGTTCTGTCCCCCAGCGCCGCTTACGACGCGTCGGTTTTGTCTCCAAATTGGCTAACGCTCTGGTTTCATCTCCCCAACGGCACCCGTTACGAGATGTGTGTGTTATGTCTAACGCGCCGTGTTTTGTCTCCCCAGCGGCACCGGTTACGAGGTGTACGGCAACTGTAACGCGCCGCGGGCCATCACCCTGTCTGCCGTCATCTACTGTTTGCGCTGTATGGTCGGACACGATGTACCGCTCAACCAGGTATTTCCGGAGTTAGGGAGGGCTGCATGCTGAATTACAACGGCAATGCCCTCCAGCATTGACTGGACGAAATCTGAGCCCTATTTCACGGCCCGTCGCTGCGCTGCGCTGCTGTATTGTGCGGCGTTTGAGACGAATTCGGCTCGACGCTCCAGCGCTGCGAGAGTCTGAGTTTGTTGATGTTCCCATGGAAACCCAATACACCGCTGCGCACAGCGAGCTACCGTGAAACAGCCCTGTGCGGACAAGGAGGCGGACTACTGTTTGAAATAAAAGACTGGAACATCTATAAGTGTGATAGCTATTGGATTTTCATCTCTCAAGGCTCAAAACTATGTGTAATTCTCCCTCGTATTTTGACTTGATTTGGTAAAGCTATGGCGCTGGTATGTCTAACAAATCTAACCACACCGCCTTTCATTACCCCCTCGTCCCCCCCCCCCCCACAGGGCTGTCTGGCGCCGATCCGTATCCGGATCCCGTCCGGATCCCTGCTGGATCCCTCAGATACCGCCGCTGTGGTGGGCGGTAACGTGCTCACCTCCCAGCGGGTCGTGGACGTGGTTCTGGGCGCGTTCGGAGCCTGCGCCGCTAGCCAGGGGTGTATGAACAATGTGACGTTTGGCGACGGAGAGTTCGGGTACTACGAGACGGTGGCAGGGGGCGCCGGAGCGGTGAGTGGGAGGGAAACGGGGAAATTATATAGAAGAGAGGGTGGGAGAGGGAACAGGAAGGGAAACGGTAGAAGGAGGACCGGCCGGGTTCAGGGGTCGAGAATTTGCATGTGCTGTCAAGTGAGTCTCAGATGTTCGGAATTTAGCCTAATGTTTTTATGTCTGCATGATAAATTCAATGGAAATTTTGATGAAAACCTTCAAATGTGAATGCATAACAATAGCTTTCTTTGGAAGCCAAAATGAGTCGTGAGCCCGAACAAATGTTTATTAAAAGCATCCTTGCAGTGCTGTATCCATTTTTAATTTCATCATTTCACCAATATTTTTACCAGCATGACGTCGCATATCCTAAATACTTCCCACTGACTGGTATGTCACGTGCCATTTGTCACAGGGTCCCACGTGGCATGGCCGCAGCGGTGTGCACAGTCACATGACCAACACGCGCATCACGGACCCGGAGATAATCGAGGCGCGCTACCCGGTGGTGGTCCAAAAGTTCTCACTGAACCCCGGCACGGGCGGAAACGGACGGCACAGGTGGGAAAGAGATAGTGGATCAACAAAGAGGGATGGAAAACGTGGATTATTCATGACGCTTCATTGGAAGAATCATCGTCAGGCATTGTTTGCATTTTATCTATGATATTTGATGTCGCCCATACCTGACCGGGTGGCGAGTCTGAGATCTAATATTGATCATCACTTTTGTTTGTTATTTTACATCCATAACCATTCCTCATTAGTGTTATTTACCAAGATATTCGTTACCATGCTATTCGTTACCATGCTATTTTGACAGCCTTGCGACGTTAACTATAACTGAACCATAAGCTACGACGGCTGCCCCATCTGATCCCTGACCTTCCTCTGACCCTTCTGACCTCCCTATGTCCTCACAGGGGCGGCGACGGCGTCGTTCGGGAGCTGCTCTTCCGAAAGCCGCTGACACTGTCCATACTGACAGAGCGGCGGGTCTTCCAGCCGTACGGCCTCAAAGGTACGTGTCAGCCCCCTCTCCTGCTTTTTGTTGTTGCTTTTTTCGTGCCCTGCTCATTCTTGGTTTCTGTCTATCTCTCCCATGATATCGGTCTCTGTCTTCCTATGCTGTGAGCCCTGTCCCCCCCCCCCCCGTCCCTCCAGTATCGTCGTTGATCAGGGTAACACCTCACCGTACCGTATCATTTGCCACGGCTGTCTTGCGCTACCCCTACAGGCGAAACGGTGGAAACGGTTAGATGTGATATGTATCAGATATTGTATCAGATGTTCCATGTGCTATCAGTTATCACTGCGAGTGTTGTACTATCACTACTGTACTATCGCTGCTGTACCATCACTGTCCCCACACCCCCCACAGGCGGTGGTCCCGGCAGGAGGGGACAGAACCTGCTGCTTCACGCGGACGGCCGGACGGTGGACCTCGGTTATACCATCTGACTGTTATATTATCACTGCCCCTACTGCCCCAGGCGGCGGTGCTGGTCGCAGAGGACAGAATCTGCTGCTTCACGCGGACGGCCGGACGGTAGACCTCGGCGCCAAAACCTCCGTGGACGTCCAGACTGGCGTGAGTGTTACCTAGAGTAGATGATTGCAGTCTTGAGTTCATAGCTTGTCTGTGACCGGGTCAGCCGGGGTACTTCCTTTCCAGTAGTGAAAAGGGATGTTAGGCTAGATCCAATGGTTTGGTTATGAATCTGTTCCCCTTTGCTACGCCTTGGCTCGCACCTGGCGTGTTGTCCATAAGGCGGCTGACTTGAGAGGGACCTCTTAATTGGGCTCCCCTTCCTCCATTTTCTGAATTTATTCGTCTGCTTTTCCATTGCAAACGGTTTCAAAGCCTCAGTAAAAACAGGTGTCGATTACAACAGACAAGTTTGTTTGCCTTGAGATCACCGATGGCGTCACGGTGAGGTAAAAGTTAAAATTGCTGACGTTTTGGGCTCGTGTCCATCCCCATTGCCAGCCCCTACCCACTGCCTGCCCTATCCCAGCCTGCCCTATCCCAGCCTGCCCTATCCCAGCCTGCCCTATCCCAACCTGCCCTATCCCAGCCTGCCCTATCCCAACCTGCCCTATCCCAGCCTGCCCCATCCCAGCCTGCCCTATCCCAACCTGCCCTATCCCAGCCCGCCCTACCCCAGCCTGCTCTACCCTCAGCCCGCCCTAGCCCGTCTCATCCCACCATCTGCTATACTGCGAATCCCATCCCGACTGGCGCACTGTTTATAGCACAGTGGGCCGGCTATGGAATGCTTCGCACGCCATTCCTCGTAGAGATGTGCCGCTTACGTAAGGCGTCTGCCGGGCCTGAGAGCGGCGCCCGCGGCCTGAGCGTGCTCTCAGCCGGTGTGGGTAGGGCATTGGTGGCTGTGGTGACGTGGTGCAGGCTAGTTTATCATCAGAGATGTTTTATAAGACGGCGAGAGTTACCGAGGAATGGCACGGAGTGGATGGCTATTTTCTGGAGTTGGATGTGGGTTATTTTGATGGATGCTTTTGTACTCTCTGACCTTAGACAACTATAAAGCTGGAGCCGTGGTCAGTTTGCAGTCTCCGTTGGTGGATGACACCAGCCGGTTTTGATGATGATTTGGTCGGTTAGCCAGCAGGTTTGCCGGTGTTGAGCCAGCCGGTTTATTTGTTACCAAACCGGAGCCCATAGCTGTGCGGAAAAACAGCTTTGTTTATCCCTGGCGTGTTCGATCGGTTTTATTTTCAGCAAGCCGCCAGATTGCTGGCGATTTTCGGTTTCTCATTTGTCGCATTCGCTTATTCTGTGCGGCTCACTAATGAGAGGCCAATGAACGCCAGCAATGAACTTTCAAGCTTCAGAAATGAGAGGACCGAACAGCGTTCTGTTTTTTTTTTTTTTTTTACCTTTACCCGATAACGGATTTGGGATAACGGGATCTGTTTTTATCAGGGCAAGTTATTCTTTGCTACGGCTGAGAATGTGGTTATATGTTCTGCATAGTACAGCATCGCCCTGAGCTGCAGTATTACCGCATATGCCTTGTGTTGCTGCTTTTCTCCTATGTTGCATGTTTTGCCTCCCCCCCCCCGTATTTTCTGGCGTATCTTCTTCAACCCCAGCCGGTTCAGCCGACACACGGACGGCCGATGGGCCCGTACCCGGCTCAGTAAACATCCCGGAGTGATTCGAGTCCGTACCCTTGCAGCCGCCCCCCCCCCCCTTGCCAGGGCTTTGTTCGAGGCGCCAGTGATCGGCCAGGGTCAAGGGTCAGTCCGTCACCGGGTCAAAGGTCATCGACAGGGTCCTGCGCGGGGTGCGGCTCGGTGGTTTACGGAGGCTTTACGGGAGTCTTGTGGGAGCTTTGTGGGAGAAGGAGTTTTCTTGTGGAACGCCGAACGATGACCTTTTGCTGTTTTACTGACCGGTGCTCAGAATTTTCCATAAGCATTTATGAGTCTGAAAACACATTGCTCTCTGTCACTCTTTGTGTATCCGTCTGTTGATTGTCTTGTTTTATTTCTTCCTTTTTTATTCTTTCTTTCCTTCGTTCTTTTTTTCTTTCTTTTTTCTTTTTTTCTTTTTTTATTTCTTTCTTTCTCTCTTTCTTTTCTCCCTCATTTCCTTCTTCCCTCCTTCCCCTCTTACCACCCGTCTCTCTCCCAGGACACGTTCCGTCTGTTGACTCCCGGCGGCGGCGGTTTCGGCTCTCCTGACGACCCCAAGGAGGCGGGTGAGGAGCAGGAGCCGGCCCAGGAGAGACTCCAGACGTTCCTGGAGCGCGGCAGCCTGCACGACTACCAGCTGGCTCAGGAGTCTGTCTAGAGGTACAGGAGTCTGTGTAGGGCGCCTGAAGTCCCGGTAGAGGGGCTGGGGTCCGTGTTGGGAGTCCGTGTGGGGCGGCTTGAGTGAGTCCTGAGTCATAAGGAAGGCGTCCAGGGGTGGTATGCTTCCTTATAGACATGTGCTGGGAGTTCATTTATGCCAGTAGTCAGAACATGACGATTTCGAAGTAAAAACTTTAAATACAAGCCGTTGGATGCAAGACTCAAACTGCCACTTGCTGAAATCTGAAACGACGAATCGAAAATGCGTAGCACGTCGGCTGTTCACATTGTATGCAATATGCACGACATTATTTACCTCTTTATATCGAACTCGGTATAGAAACCTATAACGAACTATGGGTGTAGCTGATGTTTCGGGAATGTGTTTAGGGGCTTTAGTCAGATCATGTCTAGGCTTTCTCTGCATAATTAGTAGTTTCTGTGGGGGAAGATGAGGATATTGTCCTATGTAATAGAGTCATAAGACGGCCATTGATACCAGTGCCTTCATGTAAGCTGTGCTCAGATCTGATCTTCCTTCCATGTGCGCGTTTGTATTTTACAGCGCTTTGCAAACATGTTTATTATAATTGGCACTTGCCACTTGCCAACACTCTAGTAATCGTTGAATGATTAGGGGTTTAAATCACTAACTGTAGATTGTATACGTGTATGCGGTATAGCAGAATGTTTACTGAATTATCTATGGCGGATGTCGTTTAAAGGTGGGTTGTTATGTGCTTACTGCTTATGTACGTTTTTGTGTGACAAACTATGTAGTATTTGTCTACATGATCAGCCGCGAAGGTACATCGGAGAAGTATCTTAGTTCCCCACCATCGAACTATTAACGCATTGTGGATCTGTTGGATGGTGTTGGATTTTGCATTTTTTCATGTCAAGTATTTTTTCTCACAATCTTATTTTCATTTGGATCACAGCGAAAAGGTCATTTTGCGTGTGTTGTGGTCCGTAGCGTGCAATCACCTTTGATACGTGTGCAGTGCAATGTTAACAAATTGTGCCATGGCCCAGCCAGTTTTGATACAACCGTGTGCAATAATGCGTGCCGTATCTCCGCCAGTATTTCCCTGTGCCAGTGTTGAGCTATGCCCGCTGCCGCCTTGTGAGTACGGTCGATCCCACGCGGTATTATTGATTTTGACGCTGTTTGTCGCGTTCTCCGTGTTATCAACGGCACACAGCAGCGTTTTTAATCGTACCGTGTGGTGTGTCCTCATGCGGTCAGTCTTTTAAAAGTGGTTACTGTTTGGCCAAGCCCTGTGGAAATGTAATTATCTCGACCAGTGGCATTGTTATTGCGTGATAGTACGATAATATATTTTAACAGATTGAAAACGATATCTTACTTTGCGAGTAACTTTGAATTTATTGCAGCGAAGCCTAGCTGAACGGAACCAGTATTCGGCAAGGAAGCAAACCATGGTATGCTCTGTCACGTCGATTTTGGGTGCGTTGCGTAGCTGATTGCTTCTAGGAAGCAGGGACATTATAAGAACCTTTTCACTGTTTGTCTTGCTCCCCTACTTAAAGACGCTTGGCTTTCAGCGCGTAATTCACATGTTGAACGGAAGGCCTTCTGGTGCAATTGTCAGCTAATGATGGATAAAGGAAACCATTTCTGATTAAAGTCACTATCATATCTCGGTATGAAGCGATATCTGACTAGTTGACTGACTGTGTTATGCTATTCTATAACACTAATACTATTCTGTACACATAATAGGGGAGACCCGGGAGGTATGGGCCCCCTGGAGGTATGGGCCATCGCAGTTTTGAAGAAGTGTTGCGTGTTTTTTTCACATTTGACCGCGTAAACTGGTAGCAGCCATTCCGTTATACAATCCACGTGATTTTCAAAATCTTTCTCAGTCTTCTTTGGCAATGAACGGTGATAAAGCGTTTTTGCCCTCTTCGAGTAAAATACTGTACATACAGAAAATTCATGATAAATTTGAACCAGGCTCGTTTTATGATGTCAGACCAATGCTTACATTAAGTTTAAAGCATGCCAATTAAGGCTGGATAGACAATTTGAAGCTTTCTTGCAAGATTATGAGCTGAGATGCTGCGCAAATTCTGGCGTCCTAACCGGGAGGTTCGGGCCACCCACCCCTGTTGATCCTAAATCAATAAAAAGATGCTTTCATTGAGTGTCATCTTCAATAAGTTTTATTTTTGTCACGCAAGGTTGAAAATTTAGCTTCAAATCTCATTCGAACAGAAAAATATTATATATTTTATTTCATGTTGCATGATTGAGTTTACCAAAATACATATGTGCCCAAGTGACCTCCATGAAGTAAGCTGTTCGCCGCTTATGCGGTTCCTGGGCTCTAAGAGAGATCAAGGTAGATACCAGCTACGAGTATTGTTCTCATTGTCGAGAAAAGGATATGAAACATGGCACCGGCCCATGCCTCCCGGGCCATGGCCCATACCTCCCGGTGTATTTTGATGGATCGAAAAAGTGCATGATTTATTACAAGTTATCTCGAGACAAAATAGTTGATCCCAGATGCCTAATATCAGGCACACTTTGCAGGCGAAAGGCAATTTCACGTGCACAGAGTGAAAAACCGGGTGTAGCCACTGCCCACTAGAAGAAAATTGCCTTTTCACAAAACCGGCCCATACCTCCCGGGTCTCCCCTACTATTCTATGCCTGTTCGTTTTGCTCCCTCGAGTATTCACTGTCTTTTTGACCCCATTAAGTCGTGTAATCAGGCCGAGTGAGTACAAAACACCCGGTATGTGCACCCGGGACGGCCGGCATTACACCTGTCAGACTTTTTCACCCGCTGTTAGCTGCAGGTGTTCGTCGTGGACACGTGTCAACGAATGACAGAAAAAGACTGACGTGCTACGATTGCAACTCGGACCTTGGTCACTACAAAGGATGTGACGCTTGATCTACAAAAATGTGTTGGTGACACAGATCCTACAGTTAAACATGATCCTTTTCTTTGGAACGGATTACGGCAACGTGATCATGTCGCGAATAGGTCGTCCGTGCTCGACAAACGGTGGGTATTTGTGGAAAACGAGTCATCATGTATTGTTCACGATACTTCTCGAATATAAAACAAGTACAAAGATCTACTGCGACTCACGTATCATATCAAATATCAACCATCGCCAGCCATCCGACTGACTGAGATATTGGCTGTTGCCATGCCGGTCGCTGTCCATAGCGACTTTCGCCAGCAGCTCCTAGTTAATCGCTGTCACAGTTGAACACATTCACGTTTTCCTACCACCCACAGTCAGGTCGGTTACACCGAAACACTCGTTCATTACAAGTGCCCGCCTGGAACCGTGTTAAAAGTGTAGGCGAGGAATCTCACAAAACACATGCAAAACACGGTCCCGTACGGCCCACAGGCCTCCCTCTCCTCCTCCCCCCCCTTCCCCCGCCATCCCCTGACACCTCGACTGCGCCGGCCGCCGTCAGCTGGCGGAGACCACCGGGTTATGGGCGGCTGGTGGCCGACAACCACTCGTCGGCGAAAATCGGCGCGCCGTTCCGTCCCGGTGGTGAGTGACCCGGGCGCCCGGAGACTGGGCGCCCGTTTCCAGCTGAGATAGCGGACTCCAGCTGGACCCAACCCGGCTCCGCTGGGTGCGCGTTACGTCACCGAACCCGGGGCCATGGGCATTGGGCGCCTGCCGAGCGAACGGGCGATAAAAACCGGCTCCAACGCCCGGCGGGTCGTCGACTTATGGTGAGCTCGCGGGTTCATGGTGAAACCACGTGGACAGGCCAGTCAGATCGCGAATACAAAACAGCGAGGGCCTAACAAACGGAACACGGGCGCTTATGATGTGTCGGCATGACTTGAATATTTAGATTCTCCCTGATGACTTTTCCTGGTGCGAACAGCCCTACGCCCGTACCTGCATCATGATTACATAGCGCTTATGAAGACATGGTTCGCCGAGTTGCAGCTCCTCGCGTCCGTCTTCATAATCCGCCGTGGCCGCTGGCTCGGCTCGGCTCGGAAGTTGGAGTCGAGTCGTTAGGTGCGCTCCGTGACTTTCTCGCCGGCGGCCGATCAGGCGGCGTCCGTCTCAGCCTGTTTATTACGGCGCCCCGCGGAGCGTCGGGCGATGCAGGGATGGAGCAGCACCAGCGCGCCACCGGCCAGCATGCAGCCCGACAGCACGGCGAACACGGTGCGAAACGTGCCGGCCGCGTCTCGCAGCAGGCCGCCCAGCGGCTGCGCCGTCAGGTTGGCCACGCCCGCGAACAGGTTCGACATGGTCAGCGTCGACGAGAGACGCTCGACGCCGTAGTACTCGGCGTACATGACGGGCGTCACCACAAAGTAGAAACCAATGGCGGCGTACACGATGGAGCACGCGACAAACAGCTCGATGTACGAGCGCACGAACACGAGCGCCAGCACGCCCGTGCCTCCCACCAGGCACGTGATGAACAGGCCGTAGCGCTTGTGGAACAGGTTGCGGTCCAGCAGGAAGCCCAGCGAGAGACGGCTGACGATGTCGATCGGAGCGATCATGGCGATCATTCGAGCTATGTCAGCTTGACTGACATCGATCTCCTGGCCGAAGCGCGGAATTAGCAAACACACGTGCGGAAGGCCGGTCATGAAGAGAAACACGCTCGTCACACAGGCGATGTACAGCGGATCGGTAAGCAGATGGAGGTCCAGGGACCGCAGCACCTGCTGCATACAGCCTGAGGACTTGGGCGCCTCGGGGGCCTCCACGGCCAGGTTCAGCTGACTCAGCATCGAAGTGGATGTGGCGAGGGAGGCGTCGGGGTGCCGGTGCCGCAGGGGAGGGTGCAGTAGGCCGTCCTCCATCTCCGAGTGGGCCTCCGAGTGGCGCCTTTCAGCATGCTGTACCTCCAGCAGTTTGGCAGCAGCCGGCGCGGTCTCCAACTTCTCCAGCTCCTTGTCGTCACCGGCCGCGGTGCTGACCTTGCGACACCGTCTCAGCTGCCGCCGTCTCTCCATGCGCATGATCTCCCGCTGTGTTTCCATCGGCCTGTACAGCATCGCCGAGATGATGGTGTGCATGTGGATGCCGCCGAGCATCAGGTAGGTGCCGGGGATGCCGTACTCCTCCAGCATCCCCTGCACCATCAGCGGGAAGAACACGCCGCCGATCGCGGCAGACGCGGCCGTGATCGAGTTGGCCAGGCCGCGGCGCTTCACAAAGTATTTGCTCACCATCAGCGTGCCGGGGATGTTGGCGAAGCACTGTCCGACGCCGAACATCATGCCGTTGGTGACGTACAGCATGTAGATGTTGCCGGTGAGGCCGCTGAGCGCCAGACCGAGGAGCGAGCCCACACCGCCCATGATGCACACTGTGCGCTCGCTCATGCGTCTGCACAGCGCCCCGCACAGCGGGGACGCCAGGAAGTTGAAGGAGAAGTAGAGGGCCGGGATGACGGCCACCTCCGCCGAGCTGAAGCCGTACTCGTGCACCAGCGCGGCCAGCACGAGGCCGAAGGACTTGTGGATGCCGCCGACCAGAACGAACTGCAGCGCGGCGCCGGCGGCCACCACCCAGCTGTAGTAGGAGTCCTGCACCTGAATTTCGTCATCATCATCGTCCAGCTTACTCTTCGGCTGCGACACAGAGAGACGTTCCTCGTCGACGGGGTCTGCAGACGCGACGGCGATCCGGGGGATGTGGAGCTCATGCGACAGCCCGGAGGCGCGCGAGCCTCTCTCGTCGAACGACGACGCTACAGACGCCTTGCGTGGCGTCCTGGGGTGCGAGGCGTCGCTGGCGGTCCTCGAGCGGTGGCCGTTCGGCAACAGGTGCGGCTCGCTGGGCGCCCTGGCGACAGACTCGTCGCTGGGAGTTTTGATGACCGGGATGTCGCCATGTGAGCTGCGCCGAGAGGTGATGGGGACGGCGAGGGAGCCAGATCCGGCGAACTCGACTAGAGAGACGTCCTCGCCTTGTTGTGGCATCTTGAAGGGAGGAAACTTCAGGGAACTGGATCAGCTTCCATCAGACGGAGGATCCGATGCTTTTATGTTTGTAGCTCCTGTTTTGGGAGCTTTCTTTAGAAGTTGCAGATCTGATAACTTTCACTGAAAACCACTGCCGGTGCGATAACGTTGGGTTCTATCCTCACGGAATGCGTAACAGCGTCCTTCACCTCTCTCGTCTCACTGCGACATATCACTAACGACAGAGCTGGCCGTCTTCCAACTCGGAGCAGATGCCAGCTGTCGAGTGTCAGTGTCCTACACCGTAACTCTGACGTAACTGGCGGCCTCCAGCGTAATGTCCCAGCGTCTTATTCACAGCCTCGCGTCACTCAGTTCAGCACCGCACTGTTCCGTTCCACACCGCCTGTAGCACGTTTCACCTCTCCACACCACGCCGCGTCGCCTCCCGTCGCTGTCCACACGGCGTCCCTCCCTCGAACGCAGCCGGCCGGCCTCTGAGAGCTCTCGGAGCCTGCGCCGTCGGCCGTCCACGCCAGCTGCGCGCGCCATAACTGCCGTGACGTCACGTTACCAAGGCTAGCGTCGACCCCAGCGACACCCCCCCCCCCCCGAGCGGGCCCGACAACAGAGGGGGGAGCTTGGCTCCCAATAGAGCTGCCCACCGACTGCCAGAGCCAGGTCTCAGGGTCATGGCCGTCATGGCCTCGATCAAATGGTTCACAACGCCGAGTTCAATCAGATACGTCCAAAAAGGAAACTCACTATGTTTGTGAAGCGTTCAGCTGTGTTTCGGATTATAGCCGCCTGAACGGTCCATGGCGATGAGGGGCGGAATCATGCACGCGGAGGTGTGAACTGAGGAAATGCGATTGGATTGCCTGGGTCTAAATCATAAACGTTACGTAAGGCGAATGGACATTATGTAACGCCTGTCCAGCGGCGCCGGGAAACTGGGGTGGGATGTAATCTTTACATAATCCGTAGTGCAAGCCAATACGCAGGCATGCACGCTAATTTTATTTTTATGATATATGTATGCTCTGCATAGCTGGTAGGGATTAGGAATTAAGAAAGGCACATGTGTGTTTCCTCGGCAGGGCGGCGGAGTCGATTGATTTTCTTTGTCCCCACTCCTGCTCCGACGTCGGCCGTCGGGCCTCCCTCTCCAGCTGACGCCAGAACGGGGAAGGGCGTTTTGTCGCCCCATCGGGCTTTCACGAATATCTCTAAAACGACGATGCCTAGCGCAATCGCGTCTCCTTGTCAGTTTTAACCTTGATTATTTTAAGTTTTATAGTTGTTTTTAAGGTAAGGTCTAATGATAATCATATGTAAACCTAACCTCGGTGTACAGAGGCGTATTGTTAAATTTAAGTTTTTTTTGTGTTTACAGCGTGCTTCGACGAAAGAATGCCGGTGCCGTGGTAAAACCATAATCGAACGAGCCTTGCCTGGAGTGTTATTGCGAACTTCGCGAAGAAGCAAGTCGATGAAAACGTTTATTTTAAGGTGTTCGCTTACTGTGGACCAAAGCGCTGACCTATGTATAGTCAAATATGATGCCACGTTGCCTGGTAAGATTGACCTTTAATGATATTTGGTGGCTTGAACTTTGACCTTATCTAAACAATGACCGAACTACCTTCTTCAAGATTTCGACGACCTTTCGAAATCTACCGTAGCATTGTGTTATTCCGTATTCGCTACGTGGCCCAGGCCAGGGGCCAGGATAGTACCACTGTAAAACGACACAAAACAACCCAGGTCTGTAATGCTTTCTCTTCTGCCATAAGCATTCCTTAGCGCACTCCAAAGATTGCACTGCCTGCCCCCGATGCTCGACAGTCGACACTCGACAGCAATCCCTGGACTCCAACGACATCATACGATCCGGGACTGGAGGTCGCTCAGTCTGTGAGGGTTCGACTGCAGCAGAGGGGCCCGCATTTCACGGGGTTCGGGGGAGGGCGATTTGCAGAACTGCAACGCTTCTCTGCATTGTGCTTGCTGCCGTATATTGCACACACAGTGCATTCCGTTCTCGGAACCGCTGACTGCGGCAAGTAGTTCTGTCATCTCTTGATAGTGAACGCCGCTGCAATCAACACCCTGTCCCCTTTATTTGACCCGAGCCACTGTCCGAGCACGTGACCCCTGCAGCTGACACCGCCTTCCGACCACGTGACTGGCACCGAGTGCGCCCCTGGAAGCAGAGAGAGGCGGACGGATGGGACGGCGATAACTCGTCAAACATGCCACATTGGGGAACCCCTGGAGCGATGCATCCTCCAGCGGTGGTGAAAATTAAAGGTATTCGTCGTGCCTCGGAGGCTCTTGCACTAGACGTGAGTTTCAAATTAGATGAAGAAAATGCTTTCTCGGACAGCTTTATATATCGCCTCCCCTCCCCCTTTCCCCAGTGGCCGATATTGGATAATGGATATCCATGTTAAGTACCGACCCACACTGACGATTTCTCGGCTCATGTCCTGCTCGGCTGCAGTGCTGGAAAGTTCCCACCAGGCGCTATAAAATGTCACAGTGCCCGCAGGGAGCGGCCGGACGGAATTCAGCGACGTCATGCTGACAAAACAGCGCGCCTCTGCTTACATTGGAGCGGGTGGTCTGGAGTGTGTCATCAGCGTCGCATTGTGTGATATCATTCCGCACAGAAGCAGAATTCTGGACGGTGTTTGTGTAAGTAAGCGTTCCTCAAGACCTTTGCAATGAAATTTGAGCATTAAATGTATAATAAGGTAAAACGTTCGGAGCGTTACTACTATACACCCGACCTCGCACTGCCATCAACTAAAAAATTTGGGTGCAAATGTCGAATATCCCCAGATAAAAAAATCATCCCACTCTGAAAACGGTGTTTTAATTGACCCGTATAACATCTGCCCCGTTCGTGTAACCTTAAACATTCATCAGAGGTTTAACAATTTGTTTTGCCTTAAAACCCGTTTCATTGGTTCACGAATTCAATATTATGTATCCTTACTGAAGAATTGAAATTTAAGTGCATTTTTTCTAAACTCGACCCTTGCTGAAAACGCTCTTTGAACACAACACGAGAATTACTAGCTGAATTACTGAGAAAACTGGTTGGCGCACGTTTATTTCACAGACGATCAACTTTTACCAAAATTATTTCTACCTGGCTCTTATGTTCCCAGACTCTCAGCTTGTATTTGCCAACATTTACAACTCCACAAATATAGACGACTTGTCAGGAATTATAATTGATAATTAATACATCACACGGCGTTTTATATAACGGTACGGTAGATCATCGGAGTTCAAAACTTATTTTAAAAAGCATTATGCAATATGCATATCCTCAATACAATATGCGCTAACCAGTTTTCTCAGTACCTAATTCAGCTAGCAATAGGGTTGGGACCTATCTGCATGCTCTGTATGTTTTGGTAAAATAAAAAAGCTCAGAATTTTTAATGATTTAATTTAAAATCACTTTGTTATAAAAATGCCTAGTTAGTTCAGAAATTAATTATTTGTGGCTGAAAACAACTTGCTTCTGATTGGTCCGGCTAATCATGACGTCACATGTAGGTATATAACTGTCTGTATATTTGGCGCAGTTGAGACATACATTTTCTATGTATTTTCCTATGGTAAATCGGAGTGATTGGTCGTGTTTTCAGTGTCTCTTTATTTTGCGCTGGTATTGCGTGGCTAAGAAGTTTTATCAAGAATGGCATATACTAAAATGTTCCTTTAATAATGGAGCTTCAATATCTGTGAGTTTTATTGGCAAGCGAAAACTGATTTCGCTGTTATTTTATCTGGAAATTACTCATTTTTTTAGGTCAATATTCAAAATATTTTACGGAAACAAGTTGGCACTTTTCTTGATTTTTGCACTCAAATCGCGTGCGATTTAACTGTATTGGAACTTGCAAAGAAGCTTGGTGATTAATTAACTGTGTTGTTATGGCACTGTTTGCAAAGCATGGATAATGAAACTCTGCCAAAGACTTAGCTACATAGCAATGCCTCAAGTAATACGCAGGAGGGACAGAATTCAGAGTCCGATCGAGAAGAATCGGTGCAAATGCTACGAAGACCAGGCAGCTCTGATACAATAGCTAGTCGTCTCACTACTCTCACTCCATTAGACCAGCTGATTCCTGACAGCACCGACTCGGATGCAAAGATGGAGCTCATCTTCCAAGCCAGAAACCAGTTCTTTGATGGAAGATGTGATGCTGCTTCTGTCTCTGCTTTGTTGGCCACTTTGGACGGGGCGGAGCTCCGCTCCTTGCGTGAGCGGTTATTCGCCTGTCATCCAGAAATAGTTCCTTCGTTTGCTGGCCGTTCCCTGATTAGGTGCAATACGGGGAGCTGTAATCAGGGAAGTAACTTTCCATATGAAAGGGGTGCAGGTGCACCCCCGTCCCCCATCCACTAGAAGTGCACCCCCATAGGATAAGCGGCGCCCCACACGCCGCCCCACACGATTAGCTCTAGAGCAGATGGCGAGGGTGATTTCTCGGCTACATTCCATCTCGGCGTCGTGATGCTTGTGGGCTTGGAAAGCGTCCAGTCGTAGGTATGTAGGGTAGTGTAGGGGTAGGGTTGAGTTCAATAAGGTCCTTACATTTGAAAGGTTTGAACAACCCGCAATCAGCACAACATACCACAAGTTAAATAAAAAACTACCAAACTCCGCCCAACTAATATTAATAAACATTACAGCCAAACTAATGGCCTAAATAAAGATATATCTCAAATCCTAACAGTAATCGCGGGTGATGGCGCCATGAGTTGCTACTTGCTATTATCCAAAGCAGATGCAAATAAACATGTTTGTATGTCCTATGTATGTTTGTTTTGAAAACGTTGCAGCGGCGCTGGGAACTGCAGTCTTAGATCTGGGTATGTTTGGCATCTGCAACTCTTCATATACACATTAACCCTATTTCGGACGGGGAGACCTTTCAGGATTTTCTTGTACAATTGCCAAACGCCGCGAGACATTCAGCTCATATTTG